CCCACATTAGCTAAAAAGGCTTCATCAGTTTTATTGCAATTTTCTACTTCTTGTTTATTTGAATTAGGCTTCCCAACCCTAAACAGCATCACAAATAACAAGCGTGAAAGTCTACGCTCAACTGAAGGAGAAATGACGGTCTGCTTAACGCACATTCGACCAAACATTCTTCAATCGCATAAAAAAACACCAGGCGCAGGTTTCCCACTAAATAAGCTGCCCAAATATTTGAAAAGAAACATTGAAATAAAGTAAGTTCATATTTGTGCGGGTATTTTTTTTAAATCTGTGGATTTATTTCATAACATTTAAATGTCTACCCCTTAAAACTTTTGAAGTGTGCTGTGATATTTTCATTTTTCCCTGGGTGTGCTGTTGCTTTAAAACATTGAGAAACACTGGCCTAACAGCTCAGCTCGTCTGCCTAGTCCATCTACTTATCCCGACGTGTTGGCTTGCAATGTGTTATGCCAAAATACCTATTCTATTGTAATGGACTCTCCCACAGATAATAAGTAGTAGTAGCGGTCGCCAGGTGTTGAGCGAGTCAGACGATATCGGACATTGAAGTACCAACCATCACAACTAGATTGCTGCGTCATTTACTCTTATTTCCAAGTTCCTAACGTTTTGTACGTCGAACCTAATTTAGGACGACTTATTGAAATACAAGCCTCCACTGTGAAAACTACTCTACAACCCAATGCGAATGAGTGACACGTGCCACACCACGGACATATAAATCTACCAACAATGGCGAATCAGAATGACTTTTAAGATATATCAGCACCCGGATATACCTTATTTCCGGTTTTGTTGCCACTTGATCTCCAAAAAACCGTCATCCCCTGCTTTACTTCCCATTCCCCTTCGCTCAAAGTGGATGCTGCTTAGAAGCTCAAACTTCAAAAGGATCTAGATGCTGCCCATCAAAGGAAAAACAATTGACATCGAGATAAAACCATCTGTTCCCTTTCTGCGTGGATGTCCATAGTATAACAACAGTATTGGTTCTGAAGTCAGAAGAATCAACCCTATTCACCAGACATCTGTCCAACAGATATTTTACTATTAGTTCACCAAATAAAAGGCGCAAGGGTCACTCAAGAGAGATGGTTACTGAGTGAGATTGTTGTAAGGGAGGACGAAGTAATTAATGCATATTATGAATAAGTATTAAACTTTTTATTAAAATATTTCTTTTCACTATTAGATAGATATCGGTTGACCTTGAACTTTAGTTGTCAGGAAAGCATCCTCTCGGGAGTTTGTTGCCATTGAGAACATGGCCTGGCGGGTCCTAGCTGTAAATGCTAGCTGCTAGGACTCAGGAATTTAGCTCTGCCGAGTATCTGCCATATTTATAGCAATAAAGTAGCGAAGGGCTAGCAACATTCTTTTTATTCTGTGGGACAAGGGTTGCACGGTGAAGAATAATACATCGCCCACAAGGCCGCGTAAGCGCTTTTGAACTCTCTCCAGTCTGGACAGTGAGGATAGAGGGCAACACCATCCCAAATATGGAAGCAACGCTCCATTCTTGGTCTGGTATCTCTTGTGAAGATAAAGCATGCAGCGGGATTTCGGGATTTTCTAGATCGACACATACAAGGAACCGACCATTCATCTTCCATCTTTTGCGATGGTACCGAATATACGCGTTCCACTTGAGGTCGGGAGGGCATTAAACTTTGGGAGTTCGAGGCAAGGAGCCAATTTGAGGGTATGACCACTCAGCAGGATTGGTGCAGGCTTAAGGACTTATCGCTTATTTAAACTCATTGAGCTTTCCTTACAGAACAAAAACTCTCTTCTATGGACCGTATCTCTTCAGAACGTAGGCGATCATGGCCCACCACATCTTCCTGTCCCTTGTAGCTCTTAATAAGTTTTGTCTTTTTGTTATTTCTCCCAAACCCTGTTCTACCGTCCATTTACTAAGGCTCGTCGAGTATGTTACGCGCCGCTTTCCTCTTTCAATAAGTCCTGTGAGTGTCAGATTTTCCAAGCCCTCCTTCCTCATTACGTGCCCCAGAAATTGAACTGAACCCTTTATTTCGCTCACTGGGGTGGAAAATTCGTAAACTTAAGGAATCAGGACATATGCTTGGCCACAGAAATCTCCTGAGCCGACCAAGCATAGAAATAAATACAATATGGGAACCAGTAATAAGGAGTGCCAGAGAAAAGCAATGATAACAACAAAGTTGCAATATGAGCTCTGGTAAAAAAACATGCAATGATAACAGTAAAATTGCAATATGAGCACTGGTAAAAATGATTGCTGAGGACATTAGGTTTATAATTCTATTTCTATCTATAAATTCATACACAGATGTCTTCAAGGACACATGGCACAGTGGACAAAGGCGTTGGTTATATCCAGTGACAGAACCCAAAGAGCGTGAGTTCAATACCCGGTTAAGGCAGTGGAGAACTTTTAGAGGGAAATTAGCAGGAGATAACTGATAACTGACATCCATCAAACATGGTACGTGGAACAGTCTACCCCAGTGATCGAAATGAAGGGTTCAGTTCGAAATTCCAACCACCTGAAGAAGGCCGGAGCGTACAACGGCCGAAACGTTGTGATAAATATGGCGACAAAGATGAGGACAATAGTCCGAATAATGTAAATAAAGCATTTCATACGGGACAATCTAATAAAATATTCACGCCACTCTCCGAGGGAAAGTGGTATCATTGTCTGGTCATTTTCAAAATATATAATTAAAGTTATTCGTCATTATATGTTTAATTAAATTTCATTGTTCTATAGTTCACAGACATATTTTTATAAAATTCTGTGACATCTGTTAGTCCGTCCGTCATACCTTCTAAAATAGCCACACATTAACCGACCGAAACCAATTTTTTTTTTTTTTGCTGGGGGATGTGCACATAGGTAAGGGGGGTACAAAGTACAGTTGCTTTTATTAGGGTGAGTCGCTTATTACAATAAATTTTCATTCATTTTTTTAGAAAAATTAAAAGTTTTATTATTTAACATGCAAAATACTCCCGCTATTTTAAAAACAATTTAATGATTAAAATAACAAAGACTTATTTAATAAAAATGCAAAATTGTTTTTTGCATATCTTTTCTTTAGGTTTTTATACATACAAGAATCCAGTTTCCAGTTCGTCCTGCGTTTGCGAGAACTATAAACAAATCACAAGGCCAAACGCTTCAAAAAGTTGGAATTTGGCTCCAGAAAGAAATATTTACGCATGGCCAGTTGTATGTCGCATGCTCAAGAGTAAGAAATCCTAAGAATTTATTCTTCGCTGTTAAAAAAGGAAAAGGAAAAAAAATCCTATTGTTTGCCATGAAGTCCTATGAAATTAAATTTAAGAAATTATTCAAGCGTGTAGCAGGATTTTTGTTAAAATATTTTTCCAAACAAATCAGTTAATTTAAATTTCTTCAGTTGGTTTTGCGAAATTGAACGAAACATAGTTTGTTAATCTCGACAAAAAATGTTAGCGATAATTTCAATAATACCAAATATTGTGAGAATTTCAACACGCTGACGTGTGTTGCCAAAAAAATTATAGTATATATAAATGTAACAAATATAGTACCATAATCGATGTTACAATAATGTATGGGATTTTTTTGATAAATTTAGGAATAAAAACAATGATTTCATTGTTATTTCTTTAGATTATAGTGTATACTAAATATTGCATTGTAGTTTGTTCGCATATTTTTAAAATGTTATAAATAGTCATGTAAATTATCATTATTAACTTAATATTGGTAGAGAATATTAAAAAGAATAATATAGCATTTAATTTCTTCTGTGACTATCGGAGTTTCTTAGTTTGTCACAGTATTCAGGACTGATTTTATCCCATTCGTTATTTTATTTTTATTTTTTATTTTTTTTTTTTTTTTTTTTTTTTTTTTGGCTACAAACAAACACAACAAAACAAAGGAAATGAAGCTACTTCCGAACAATAGGTTTATTTTCAGCTCAGAAGTGGTGGCCATAGATCCAGTTCTTGACATCAAAACTGCAAGCAAACTCAAAACATTTCTTATATATTCGGAATCGTAGTCAGTATTCAAAACACTCAAAAATAAAAAAAATAAAAAATCATAAACTCAGTAACTATAAAACTTTTTAAATAGAATAGAATATTTGTCAACATATAATGATATCATCTTCTTCTGGATACGTAGCCATATTGGCATCAAGGGCAAAGATAGGGCCGATTCGGTAGTCAAAATAAGCAAAATACTAACCAAAGGTATCAACCACCAAATGTAGTTCAAACACTAAGTTTTCCCCTTCACAGACCTCAGATCAACTATTAACACATTTATCAAAGAAGAATGATAGAAACTATAATCCGGCTGCCCAAAGAACAAATTATACAACATCAAACATAATATAGAAGAATGGCATCAAACATTACAAACAAGGAAAGATGAAATAATAATGTCCAGACTTCAAATCGAACATTCCATGATAAAATCTTCTTATATTCTAAAAGAAGAGCCGCCTTCAATCTCTACGTTTTGCCAAGAACTATACACAATAAAACACATACTAACAAATTGTATCGACTTCAGCCAAATTCGTTGAAAATATTATCGAATAACCAACATGCACCCTTTCAGGGCATTAATCCATATATCATCCTACAATTTCTTAAATCAAGCTGTGTTCAACGAAACTACAGCATAAAACACACATATCGCATCTAGTAATTATGTCCATGCAAACATGTATATGCAAAAAAGCTGAGTATCATCTACCATGTATTCAATTGTGAAAGCAGAATAACATATCATTTTTATTAATTCAAAGCTCCCAAGAAAACTAAATTCTGTATAATATCCTATAATTTCTTAAAGAAATCAGGGTGGTAGCACCTGTCAGGGTCCAAGCTATGGGCAAATAGGGAATCCCTCTTTTATTAAAAAAAAAAAAAAAAACAGTTCAATTATTAACTTAAGGAATTTTTCAATTTTCTTTTTTTTTTTTTAGCATCTGCTATTTCTTTGGTACTGTGTCTTTTCTTATTTGCTTCTTCTTTCGTAAGAAACGGCAAAGTTCATCCCCTGGCGACACCCAAAATAACTTGTACTTTTGAAATCCTTCTCCAATTTGTTTCCTTGCTAAAATCCTTATACCTTCTGAGTTTTCCTATTCGTCTTCTTATATAGTCCTGAAATAGTCTCTAAAGGAGTCCCAAATTTTTAATTTGTCTGGTAGGAAGTCATCTTCTTCATTGGTCAAATCCCCCAAAAAATATATCTGTTTTTGAAATTTGAAAATCAAATCTTATAAGAAATAAACATTCCGCATTTAACATACTTATTTTCGGGCTTATCTATTTTTAGAAAGTTTAGAGCAGTGGTCTCCAAACTTTTGTTATACCACAGACCGATTTCATGCCAGACAATCTTTCCGCGGACCGCTAGTAGCACCTATGCGTAATTTAAGTGCATCTCGATAATGAGAGCAATAATAAAATGAGCAATTTATTAAAGGGAGGAAAAAGTGTATAATTGCGGGCTTAGTCTCCCTTAATCAATCCATATTCCATTACTTTTACCTATTATTACATTACTTTTACCTAAAGGATGGGTTTTGCACAAGAGAAAAATTGAACAGGTATTTTTGGAAAGTAAAGTTTTGAAGATATATATATATATATATATATATATATATATATATATGTTGAATTAATATGGGTAAACGTTTGTCACTTAGCTGATTGATGTTACCTTCAGCATCCCGACTCCAGAAGTTTCGTAGGCAGACCTGTCCGTCAACTCTTCAGGAGGTATCAGCAGTTTAATCTATCTATCTATCTATCTATCTATCTATCTTCGTCTCTTCATTATCTATCTATCTATCTATCTATCTATCTATCTATCTTCGTCTCTTCATTATCTATCTATCTATCTATCTATCTATCTATCTTCGTCTCTTCATTATCTATCTATTTATCTATCTATCTTTATATATATATATATATATATATATATATATATATATATATATATATATATATGAATATAACATATTGCGCGTATTTTTTAATTTTTTAAAATATACCGTTAATCACTGTTTATTTTAAATATGAAATATAAATTTTGTCTATTTTAATTACAATATATATATATATATATATATATATATATATATATATATATATATATATATATATAGTTTTAAAGTATGTTATATTTATGGGTTAAAGTGGTCAATATCAGGGCTAGAGTGTATGTAAATATAAAAATGGACATTGAAGTCAAAATCCAGAAGTGACCGTCTGTTTCATACTAAACGCAATATGAGTGACCAGTTTTATATATTTTATATATATTATTTTATATGCGCAGTATTTGGTGATACAGAAAAATAGATGTCATATCTAATTTAGAGATATTAAAGAGAACGCGGTTGTAGCGAGATATGGTCGCTTACGCCTTTGAACAGATATGAAATAGAAATGAAAGCCTAGTTGTATACCAAGGGAAATAATTCAATATTTTCGTCGTAGTTACCTCCCTTGGAATGTAATGCACATTATGCGTTTGTTGTAATGTAGCGACGGTGTTACCATTATTGTAGTGATAGTGTTACCAATATTTAACTTTGGCTAGGAAAGGTGGAGTTAAGGACAATGCGTAGACACAATGCAATTTATATTTGACGTAAATAGCACAGAGCATAAAATACAAAACTGAACGGAATGATTTCAAAATATAACAATGGAATTCATTAATGTTTGATATACATGCATGCGAACTGAAAAAGGTCGGACAGAGTCGTGTCCCTTTGATTAGGTAATTGTTGATCGTGTATTTTTAGTACGCCCGATTGGTCAAAAAATGTAGTCAAGTGATTTTTTGTTTTTGTTTTTTTTTTTTTTTTGAAAACGTGCGTAGGCGTTTTTTATTAAGTATTGCACAAAAGTTAGCCCGATTTTTCTCGAACGTTCTTTGATGGGGAGATTGCATCATTTCCTATACACATAACTAAAATACAAACACACCAGTACACCAAAATAATTAAAATTATTTGGCTTTAATTTACAATTTAACATGCTTTTTTATTTCCTTGTATGTTTTTTTATTCCTGTGAACACGAGGCTATCCCTGCTAGTATGACGTGAGTCATCCCACAATGGGACATTATCCCGTTATCTTCTCTACAGCTTTAATTTGGTGTTATCTTTCTCTTATACTGGCTGTCAGCCAAGGCTAAAGAGTCCCTTTTTCACTTCTCTTTAGCGGGAGAATAGATGAATTCGTGTTTTTTTCTCAAGGGAATTTCTGCCAAAGTAAATATAACAGGCAAACCCGGAATTTGAACTCAGCTTGCCGCGACCATTTCTCGTGCCTCTATCGGCCACGCTATCTTCATAGCTATGCGGAAGTTCAACTACCTTAAGCCGGTTGCCATAAAATACCAGTTACGTTTTGAAATCATTAATCTTTTTTGAAATCTGCAATATTATCGGTCCTGATCTGGTATCTCAGTTTCAGTTACTTTTCCATCGCCATCACCTAGCAACCCTGTGCCTTTTCTATAAATATTTACACTAATTTTTCTGATAATCTTTCCTCTTTGATACTTCAACATCACGAATTTAAGCACTGTTCTAAAATCTAGCAGCTCGGTCTCATCATTTTACTGTTGAGATTGCTAGATGCAACCGTAAGTTCTATACTAATAGTTTCTTCAGTAGCACTTCTCGCTTGTGGAACTCTCTTTCATCTTCTTGTTTAAATGTCGATTACGATCTCCAAAAATTTCACTGCAATGTCAATCGTCATCTTCTATCTTATTGTATCCGCATCTTTTTTTGACCTCTCTCCTCAATAATTTTCTCATTCTCTTTCACTCTCATTAACCCCCTTGTGTCTCAGTGGTTTTATCGCCTTGCTTAGGGTGAAATGATTGAAAAATGGGTGAAAAAAAAAATTTCCGTGCAAATTTTAGAACGCCGGCAGCCAAAGTAAACAGACATGTTTCTATCTGTCCTTGAAGGAAAAAAATATATTTACAGAAAACCTTAAAGAAAAGTAATTATTTTTATTCTTCTATTATATTATTTATGTATATAGTTTCACTGGATATTACAAATTATATATATATATATATATATGTGTGTGTGTGTGTGTGTGTGTTGTATCCTTAAAAGGTTGCAAACAGACAAAGGTGGTACTCGAGTGAAAGGAACAGCGACACAGGCGTAGATGGAAGAAAGAGAGGTTTATTGTAAAAGAGAATACACTACTGAAAGACAGGGATTCGACTAACACTTCCCGAAGCCAGTCAGGTAGATAAACAGACATACAGACAGACTCTGGTATGCCCTGTGCACACTACATATATTACTGATATTGTCAGTCCACAATAGGTAATAAATAGGAAGAGTGGAACATTCCATTACAACAATATATATATATATATATATATATATATATATATATATATATATATATATATATGATCTGATCAAGTTCTTTTTTACAGTAAACTCAATAGTGGCCATAGAAATGTTGGTAGACCTTGGCTCAGGAATAAAGATAAACTGAATAGCAACCTTTTTTGCGTCAACATTCCATTTAAGAACTTTGAAGAGGTAGCCATGAAGAAATCAGAGTATCATTTCTAGCTGCCATGCAGGAATAATGCATCATCAAGAAGTAAGCATCAGTCGACAAAGCGAAACACGAAAGCAAAATAAGACAGCTAACAGTGTTTCTGCTGCACTTGGATACAATACATTCTCCTGTACTGTTTGTGGTCTTTTGTGCAATTCTCGAGCCGGTCTCAAAAGTCATACCCGTCATAGGCACGCAGATAATTAGTTCGCGGTCGTCGGAACCTCATACGTCGAACTCGTTAGAAGAGTCCATCATATATATATATATATATATATATATATAATTTTATCATATAGACAAAACCGTTTTACACACTACAAAGATGCAACTTGGTTTCAGTGCATTTCAACTGCACTTCGACGGGTGAGAATCAAAAATGGTTTAGTCTATATGATAAAATTATATATAATATAATATTATAATAATTATCGCTCTGCTATCGGTATCGAGCCCTCTTTTGGATTAATGATGTGATGGTTGGAATTTATATATTACTTTCGTTCTCATCGCATCGGATACATATATATATATATATATATATATATATATATATATATTCTCATCATTGTTTAGTCATCGTATTAGTTGATATGAACTGCATAAATGTAACTCAAATAGTTATTTATTATTTATTGATTATTTATTTCATCCTCGACAAACCGCCTCTTTTACTCCAACAGCTTCTTCTCTCGCACTTCCCGACAGTGGAACTCCCTTCCTCTTACTTGCTCCCTGATAGCTATAATCTTCAAATATTCAATTGTAATGTCAATCGACATCTTCTGATGCCTTGATCCTGATCCCTGTCTTTCTCTTTATCCTTTCCTCAAACACCCGCCTTTACTCTTGTAAAACCTGTAACCCCTTGCGTACTAGTGACACTCCCGCCTTGCTTGGGATGAAATGCTTATATATATATGTTTGTGTGTGTGTGTGTGTGTGTGTGTGTGTGTGTGTGTGTGTGTGTGTGTGTGCAAATATGTAGAAAAATAGGAAAGAACACGTTAGGTAAATAATTTGGGTTTCTTTAGTATTTTTGTTTTTATTTTTAAAAAACAGTGCTCCACACAGAAGTAGAGCTTAGATTATATATTCTTTTTTTAATTTACATTTTTAAATTAAATTAAAGTAAAGGACTTGATACTTTAATTCAATTTAATTTCAATAATTATATTGAGGTTTTTGGCTCTTGTTTTTGAAACATGAGAACTCTTATGTAGCGAAGGAATCATATTTCTAAAAAAAATAATTTAAATATATATATATATTAAATACATATATCAGCTAAGCTGAATTTAAATAAAAAATAAAGGAATTTTTGCTTTTAGAAATGATGCGGGCTTAAGTCTAACGCCTAATTTATAACTTATACTTTCTAAGCTTTAATATAACTGTTATTATTGTATTATAACTTGATTTATTCAATTTCTATATCGTTAAACTTTATTATGATAACAACAATAATAATGAACTTATATAAATAAATAATAATGTTCATGTTTTTTCTTGCATCCGGAAAGCTCTGGAAAGTTAAAACTAATTTTTACGATTATTTTTAATTATTGTTTTTTTATTGTTCATTATATTATAATTATTTTATATTCTTATTCTGTCGGGATTTTCCCCGGTCGCGTGTATATTTGTGCTCGGCAATACGAATGGAATGAACAAAATCCCAAAGTTTGAAAATAACTGTTCAACAGCTTTTATTTTGTTGAAAAAAGGAGTGCAAAATAGTAATTTGTTAGGGAAAAGTGAGTTCTACCAGTTGAGAATGTTCTTGGGTGTCGTAATTGTTTCTCTTGAGAGAGATTTCTTCGCAAGTTCCCAAGGGAGGAACGAGACATGCAAGTGTGAATCTGCAACGACAGGCATCGTCTTTTGCAGCAAGGACTGCGTGTAGTTCCCTTTGGTGGGTGTTTTCAAATGAGATTTCTCCACCGGTTCTTACGGGAGGAACTAAAAATTTAACATCAAGCTGCCAAGACAGGCCTCTTCTTTTGCAGCAATGGTTGTGCGTAACCCTTCTATAGATGCCTCGAAGGAAGAGACCGCTGAAATAGAAAATGAAAAAGAGAGGGATCCGTGAATGTAGAGGCCACTCAAAAGGAAAATGGATAAGAAAGAGGGAGGGTTGGCTGTGGATGTAAAGGCGACTGAAATTGAATAAAAAAAGTGTCCAAATATGGCTCGGTCAAAGCTTTTATAACGTCAGGGACTTCCTCTTGTACCCTGCTGATTATTTCTGATGCTGACTTAAGCAAAGTAAGAAAGCCCCCACATGACACAATAGCCAAGAAATA